TTCATAGTGCCACAGGATCTCCAATTTGAAAGATCCCTTGTCACCAAATTCAGTAACTTATCAGATGGTGGTAACAATTTCTATAACTTTCCAGCCAAAAAAATGAGTTGGTCTGTCATAGTACAACTCCAGGGATTGAGAACTCACTACCCTTTTTATTACATGTGTGGACAATGAAGAATTGTGTGTGTGTGTGTGTGTGTGTTGCTAGGGATCAAACCCAGGACCTCATGCATGCTAGGTAAGTTCTCTACCACTGATTATTTTTCATGCCTCTCTTACCTCTAATTCTTCCCTTGGGGAGTAATGTGCAGTAAGTCCCTCTATGCTCTATTCAATTGTCTTTCATATCATTGAAAAATCCTGTCTTCCTTCTCTTCCAAATGAAGCCTCTCTTCCTCATGTGATGTGATAGGAGGAATTATCAGCAATAGAGCACTTGCCAGCAGGCCCAAGAAACTTGGCTTGATCCCCAGCCCTGGAAATGTGGTGAGGGAGAGCAGTGTTCCCAGAATACAGCGCAGCATTGGATGGTTGTAGACACCTTCTCTGTGGCAGATACCACACTGCCAGTCAGTACATGCCTTTTCAGAAACAGGCACCTGAGTGCTTCTTAAGCCTAACATTTAATCCTTCCATTCTCTATGTCTGAAGTTGTCTCTTTATGTCCCACTTTTCAGTTCTTCCACAGGTCTCTTTTCCTTTTGGCCTCTTCAGGCCATTTGCTTTGTCAAATAGTCTGTAGTTTTAATTCAGCCGTCTGATATGTTTGTCTCACCTGTACCACCTCTGTACTGTTCACCTGGATTTACCAATGTTCTCTATCAGTGTTCTCAAATTATCGCTGGTGGAAGGACTAGTTTTGTGTATTTGATCTTCAATCTGTTGCAGATCAATGATTTGATAAAAAACTAATTCTTAGGGAGAAAAAAAAAAAGAAATTTGAAGAATCAAAACATGCAGAACACAAGCCCACTGTCTTTTGGTTTTAGTTTTTGGATTTTTGGGGTTTGGGGGGTTGGTTTTTTTGAGGGGGAGGGTTAGTGTCAGTCCTGGGGCTTGAACTCTGGGCCTGGGCATTGTCCCTGTGCTTTTGTGCTCAAGGCTAACACTCTAACTCTACCACATGAGACACAGCTCTACTTCCAGCTCTTTGTTTTCCCCCTCTTTTGGTGGCTAACTGGAGAAAGGAGTCTCAAGGACTTTCCTGCCTAAGCTGGCTTTGAAATATAAACCTCAGATCTCAGGCTCCTGAGAACCTAGGATTACAGGCATGAGCCACCAGAGTCCAGCTCACTGTTTTAATTAGATCAACAGATTGATAAAACCCACTACGACATTGCTATAAAAGTTGCTAAAAGCATGCTCCACATTTTCACAGCGAGCTACACGGGAACAAATAGAGTGGTCTGAAAGTTGTCCCATGTTACAGACACCAGTTGAATAGCACAGCTCTGCACTTGGAGGTGCAGAAATGTTTAACAACCTGAGGAAGGAAATCAGAAGAAGGGGGAGTTGTCACTTAGATCCTTTTTACTTGTCTCTGAAAGGCAATCTTGGGTTGGGACTATAGATCAGGAGTAGAGCACTTGTGTGGTATGTTCAAGGCATTGGGTATTAAAGGCTCAAGGTTTAAGGTTCAAGGCTGCTGATTCAAAAAAAACCAATCAACCTCCAAGGTTTGAATTTCTCTTAAATTCCTGTTTGGTGACTGCAAGGTGCATCTTTGAGCCAACTCCAGTGGTAAAGTCTCAAAGCAAAGCAACTTCAACGTACCACCATGGCAGATAGTTCAAGTTCTGTACTCCAAGTGGGCCAACCTCAAATTTTTATCACCTTTGAGTGTTAGAGCCAGACCAGCCTGTTGGAGAAACCATTTCTCTACTCTACCTGACACTAGTAAAATATGGTTGGCCTGTGGAGTGTGTTGGACCATGCAGGAGGCAGAGCTCAAGTCTAGCAATTGTGCCAGAAGTAACAGGACCTAATCACCATCCCTCTCCCCATTACCATACCACAGCAAGAATTCCACTGCCCTTTACAGCAAAAGAAATGAAATGATTTGGGGCTGCAGCACCCAATTTTGAGTAATCTACTCAGAAAGAAGACACCAGGGAGGGTGTAAATAAGCAGTGTCTGCCCCAGAAGATGGGGCATATAATGTTAGAACTGGTTATATCACTTCTTTGGAATATGAGTGAACTGAATGTCCTGAGAATCCATCTGAAGGCAGTTATGAGTTTACATCGCACAGACTTGTCTTCGGAGAAATAATGTAATGACTTAGTCTCCTTAGATTCAAGTTGAGCATGTCTACCCTTCCCAACTCCCTCTGACATTGACTGCTGTCCCAAACAGAGTTTCCATCCTTCAACCCTTCCTGGAAATCCAGAAGTAGCTCCTGGTGGTTAGGTGCATGGAGCTAAATGGGACAAGACATCTCATCACCTTCATAGCTTGGCCAGAGGCTTAGCTGTGGGTCATTGGGAAGAAGCTGAGGTAGACTGGCCCTGCTATGGCTCTCTATAAACACACACTGCCATCTTCCTGAGTGGTAGGACCTCTCAGGAGACTTAGCAACAACAACAACAAAAGCACATTGGCTAGGATCTGGTGGCTCCTGCCTATTATCCTTGCTACTCAGGAGACTGAGATCTGAAGATCATAGTTCAAAGCCAGCCAGGGTAGGAAAGTTTGTGAGACTTTTCTCTCCAATTAACCACCAAAAAAGTGGAAATGAAACTGCAGCTCAAGTGGTTAAGTGCCTGCCTTGAGCAAAAAAGCCGAGGGACAGTGTCTAGGCCCTGAGTTCAAGCCACAATACCAGTACACACATGCATACCCCCCCCACACACACACATACACACATGAAATAGTAAACTGGCTTGTTTTTGCTCACCCTGTTAATATTAAAGATATAATATCATGCAGTAAGCTTACATGGAAAATCTTCTTGGGGGAAATTTTTGTTAATGAAATATCCAGGTAACTAGGAGGGGACCACACTTTTCTTGGGTACGTGCTTCCCACCCATCGCCCTTCCAGAATGAATATGCTCTTGGATAGTAACATTTATGTGACATTCTTTCAATTCACAGACAATCCCTGGGGAGCTGCCCAACAGAAATGTTGCTATATCTTTTAAATGTAAGGAAATTCCTCCAAGCCACTGGGCAGTAGAGATGAGGACAGCAAAACCATTTTATTTACTGTTATTGTAGGATATTTTCTTTGTGTGGCCAGAGGAAACATGGACAATACTGAAGCAAGTATTTTATTTGGTGAAATGGTGCCGGTGATCACTAGAACTACATACAGGCAATGAGCCAGGCTTGTGCAGCTGGGTCTAGCTCCTGGGCCTAACCACAGGGATACACCTGTAGAAGGAAAAGACATAGAGGTGGTGGGGGAGACAGTCCACATGGTGAATATTTGGTAATAACTCTAATAGGTTTTAAGGAGACTAGCAAAACTCTTCAGAAAGCTAGGAAAGGCATTGTTCTTTTTAGGTAAGCATTCTCATTTGGAAGCTTCATAATTCTCTTTTGAGCTTTCTTTTCTTTGGGTCGGTTGTGAGGCCTGAACTCTGGGCCTGGGCTCTGTCCCCCAGCCCTTCAGCTCAAGGCTAGAGTTCTACCACTTGAGCCATGGCACCACTTCCAGCTGCTTATGTGGTGCTGAGGAATCGAACCCAGAGCCTCATGCATGCAAGGCAAGCACTCTACCACTGAGCCACCTTCCAGCCCCTTGAGCTTTTTGTTTTTTGACAAAATGGTTCTTCACAAATGAAAAGTGGAAAATTAATGTCAGATAGGTGGAGAGAGAGAGGCTAGAGTCAGCTTCAGCTAGAGCCTTGGGGAAGACCTTGATTAAAATGTACCAGAACAGCAGCTACAGATGAATGGATTCAGACCCTTGACTTGGTCAAGTAGCTGTAAAGGAGGCACCTCAGGAATAAGTTTATGGAGACCAAAGACACACTCTGAAAGTGTTTCAGATACTATAATACAAATTTACTTACAAGCTGGGTGCTGGTGGCTCACTCTGGAGGCTGAGATCTGAGGATCAAAGCCAGCGTGGGCAGGAAAGTCTGCTAGACTCTTATCTCCAATTAACCACCAGAAAACCGGAAATGCTGCTGTGGCTCAAGTGGTAGAGTGCTAGCCTTGAGCTGAAGAGCTCAGGGACAACACTCAGGTTCAGAGTTCAAGCCCCAAGAGTGACAAAAAAATCATGAAAATTCATGAGACTCTTGTCTCCAATTAACCACCAGAAAACCAGAAGTGGCACTGTGGCTCAACATGGTAGAACCCTAGCCTTGAGCAAAAAAAGCAGGGGGACAGCACCTAGGCCCGAGTTCAACCCAACAACTGACTGAAAAACATTGTCTAGTGAACACCTATCCAAAAGAAAGAAGAAAGGAAGGAGAGGAAGGAGAGAAAGAACGAAGGGGGGGGAAGGAGGAACGAAGGAAGGAATTGAGTGTTGATGAACCAAACATACTTCAGGGAGCTAGGAGTCACTCTTACTCATTATTAAGAACAGTATACACATACTTACAGCCTCCTTCCTTTCAGTGCTTACTATAACCACCAAAATCGTCTTTAGTGAATTATGTTATTTGATGTTCAGCTACATTTGATGTTTTCCTGAGAAGATAGAATCCTTTTCACCTTTTCCATATGTGTACATAACATGTGGTGGCCTGTAAAGTTGTCTACAGTTGGCCAATTATATCTAATTCATGTTGATTTATAATTTCCATTCCAGAAACTTCCATTTCCGAGGCTGTTTCTTTCCGTCTTTTCCCCTGAGTTTTGTGAGTGATTTGCTCCATTGGAAGCTCCGCAGGGGATCTCCCTCTGTACATGGACTTGTTTTCGTCTTCTACATCTTAGGGTGTGTTTTGTGTGCCCCCATTTCCAATGGCTGTCAGACACAATAGCAGGAATGAAAGCCCAGGCAGAAATCACAGTGTGTTTGTTTTCACTGTCTTCCAGTGTCATCTTGCATTACAACATATAAGAAGACACCACCTCCAGTCCCACCCAGAACTACCACGAAACCTTTCATTTCTATCACAGCCCAGAGTAGCACAGAGTCTGCGCAGGATGCCTACATGGATGGACAAGGCCAGAGAGGAGACATTATCAGCCAGTCTGGTCTCAGCAACTCCACGGAAAGCCTGGACAGTATGAAGGCTCTGACAGCCGCCATCGAGGCTGCAAATGCTCAGATCCATGGCCCTGCAAGTCAACATATGGGCAACAACACTGCCACTGTCACCACCACCACCACTACCATAGCCACGGTTACCACTGAGGACAGAAAGAAGGACTTCAAAAAAAACCGATGTCTATCCATTGGAATACAGGTAACAGCTTCCCTGGGTTCTTTGAAATAGGAACCAAAACTAAGAAATCTAACACGTATGGTCGTTTGTGTTTGTTTGTTTAATCCTCAAGAGATTACTATTTTGCCACTTGAGATAGTTTAGCTGTGTATAAAAACACCTGCCAATTAGTGGCTCTGATTTCTTAATTTTTAATTTTAATTTTGTTAAGCAGTACTGGGACATGAAGTGAGAGCCTCATGCTCTTCTTCACTCCAGGCTATTTGCTCTGCCATTTGACCACTTGAACCACATGCCCACTTCCAGCTTTTTGCTGGTTAACTGGAGATAAGAGTGTCTTAGATTTTTCTGCCCAAACTGGCGTTGAACCTTGATTCTCAAATCTTAACTTCTTGAGCAGCTAAGATTACAGGCTTGAGCCACCGGCCCACATTTGAATTCCCTATATTTTAAAATGTGACCAAAATTATGAACATATTTGGTCTGAAGATGCTATTAGCAGCTATTATTTTTATTCTCTAAATTGAATATGCAGCTCCAACTGGAGAGTAATTCAGGGAACACAAATACAAACATAAAGTGCCCCTCAATTCTTCATGTGAATTTTATTCTCAAAACCAAGGAGTACACATCCAAGGATGTGTTATTAGGTTGTGTTATGTGATGTTAAGGTTATTAGGTTGTGTTATGTTATGTTTGACCCCATTGAATAACTTTGTAGGAACAAAACTGGGAATTGCTTTTCACAGGTATGGGAAAGTGAGACCGGAGCAATTGGTATAGTATGGGAAAAAGTGTACATCAGTTCTGGTCTAGTTGTTGACTATTTAATCATGCATTTCATAATCATATAGCAGACAAAGCTGGACACGGATGACTCATACCTGAATCTGAGATCTGAGGATCGTGGTTCTAAACCACCCTGGGCAAGAAAGTCTATGATACTCTTATCTCCAATTAACCAGCAAAAAGCTGTAAGTGGAGTTGTGGCTAAGTGGCTAAAGTGCCAGCCTAGTATAAAAGCTAAGGGACAACACCCTGATCCTGAGTTCAAGCCCCAGTACTGGCAGCTCAGCAGACTTGCAGTTCAGCTCATTGTTTCCTGCTTTTCTCAGGAAAACTTAGGCTCCTTCTGCCTTGTTGTTGTTTTTTTTGTTTTTTATTTTTGCACCTGTTTGGCGTGGGTTACCCTGCAGGAAACCCTTCTACAGAGAAGAATCAGTTCTCCTCTCCATTTTAGTGGTATGGATCATTCTGCAGGTGCCCACCCCGCATAATAACTTCTCAACATAATAGCCAATAAATCTATCCCCACTGAACCAAACCTAGGCACATAGAAAAGGCAAGCATGAGGTACAGCCTCACAACACTGCTGTATTTTCAGTCTGCTCTTCAAAGTCCACTTTTAAAGTGCAATTAATCTTTCTCTAGTAGCAACAAGTCAAATGCCTCTTTCTAACATCCAGGTTTCCATAGTACACATTGTCTAGTTTCCTAAATGCATTTGTAGCATTAGGGTTGGAGTAGATGGATGACTTAGAGGAAAGGGCTCAAAGCCAGACCCCGCCCATGTCTCCTCATTTCCATAAGCCAATTCTCCTCCCATCCTCCAAAGCAGCTCAGGAGTGGGGAAAGAGGTTGGAGGTCTTATTGGTCTCAGGCAAATTGATTGATCTTCCTGTGCTTTTGTTTCATTGTTTATGCTTCATAGGATTGTTTTGAAAATAGAGCTTTAAAGAAAATGTCTGGCTTCTGCAGGGTGCTGGTGGCTCATGCCTGTAATACTAGCTACTCAGGAGGCTGAGAGTTGAGGATAGTGATTCAAAGACAGTCTGGTCAGAAAAGTCTGTGAGACTCTTATCTCCAATTAACCAGAAAGAAAGAAAAGAAAAAACTGGAAGTGAACCTGGCACTCGTGGCTCACTCCTGTAATACTAGCTGCTCCGGAGGCTGAGATCTGAGGATACTGGTGAGAAGCCAGCCTAAGCAGGAACTTCCATGAGATTCTTATCTCCAATAAACACCCCTACCCCCAAAGAAAAGCCAGAAATAGAACTCTGGGGTAGAGTGCTGGCTAGCCTTGAGCAAAAAGAAGTTCAGAGACAAAGTCTAGGCACTGAGTTCAAACCCCAAGACGGGCACAAAAAAACAAAGCTAGAATTGGAAGATAGTTCAAGTCGTAGAGTAAGTCTTGAATGAAAAATCCAAGGAAAAATATTCAGTCCTGAGTTGAAGTCCCAATACTGGCAAAAAAAAAAATTAATTAATGAATTAAAATATCTAACTCCTAAACCAGGCACTGTTGGCTCACACCTGTAATCCTAGCTACTCTAGAGACTGAGATCTGAGGATCAGAGTTCAAAGCCAGCCCAGGCAGGAAAGTCCATGAGACTCTTATCTCCAATTAACCACCAGAAAACCGGAAGTGGCGCTCAAGTGGTAGTGTGTTCACCTTGAGCTGAAGAGCTCAAGGACAGCGCCCACACCCAGAGTTCAAGCTCCACAACTGAAAAAATAAATACATAAATAAATGTGATGGTTGCACATGAATGTGAATGTACTTAGTACCACTGAACAATCCACTTAGGTGATTAATAATTTTTAGTACATATCTTTTGCTATAATAATTAAAAATATCTACCTTACTATCCCTGGCACATGGTCATCACTAAGGAATGTTAGCTTACCTCTACTTCCTCAATAGAAAGTTCATTCTGTTTTCTCCCTTTGCTTGGTTACTTTCAATAGTTCATCTCTCCCTAGCTCAGAACTTTTTTTTTTAGTGCCAGTACTAGGACTTAAACTCAGGACTTGAGTGCTTTTCCTTAGCTTTTTCACTCAAGACTGGTATTTTACCACTTGAGCTACAGCTCTACCTCCAACTTTTTGCTGGTTAATGAGAGATAAGAGTCTCACAGACTTCCTGGACCTCAGGGGATTGAACCACAATTCTCAGATCTCTGTCTCCAGAGTAGCTAGGATTACAGGCCTGAGCCACCAGTGCCCTGCCACTTTGTTATTTTTAATAATATACATATATATTATGTATCTTTTTTCTTTCTGGTCTTGGGGCTTGAACTCTGGGTGTGGATGCTGTCCCTGGGCTTCTTTTGCTCAAGGCTAGTGCTTTACCACTTGAGCCAAGAGCCATTTCTGACTTTTTATGTGATTAATTGGAGATAAGAATCTCACAGACAGGTTGGGAAGGTGGCTCAGTGGTAGAGTGCTTGCCTCAGATGCATGAGGCCTTGGGTTCGAGTCCTCAGCACCACATAAGCAGAAAAAACCTGAAGTGGCGCTGTGCCTCAGGTGGTGGAGGGCTAGCCTTGAGCTGAAGAGCTGAGGGACAGCTTCCAGACCAAGTTCAGACTCCACGATCAACAAAAAAATAAAGAATCTCACGGACTTTCCTGCCCTCGATGGCTTTGAACTGTGATCCTCCGATCTCAGCCTCCTGAGTAGCTAGGCTACAAGTGTATCCAATGCCCAGCTTATATATCTTAATATATATAATCTTGATCAAAACTCAGCAGTTCTTTCTGGAGGAAAACTTGATATGATCAATATTTGCATATCCATTCCGAACTGGTGTGAGCACATCCCAGCAAAATATATTTATTCTTTTTTTGCTCTGCAGTTATATACCTCAAACAATTCTACATTTTTTTTTTTTGTTTGTTTGTTTTTGCCAGTCATGGTGCCTGAACTCTAGGTCTGGGCACTGTTCCTCAGCTCTTCAGCTCAAGGCTAGTGCTCTACCACTTGAGCCACAGCACCACTTCCAGCTTTTTTTGCTTATGTGGTGCTGAGGAATCGAACCCAGGGCCTCATGGATGCAAGGCAAGCACTCTACCACTGAGCCACCTTCCCAGCCCCAATTCTACATTTTTTTTGCCTTTTTTGCACTTAGCAATATATTTTGAAGAAATTTATTTATCAATCTTAACTTCTGACTTTATTTTAAAACCTCTATATGCTTATCTTAATCACCTCCCAAGCTCCACTGATGGTTTTTGCCTTCTATTATAATTCCATCTGTGCATGCGCATGCACACCAGTTCTGGAGCTAAACTCAGGGCCTGAGCACTATCCCTTAGCTTTTTCTGTTCAAAGCTGATGCTTTAACACCTGAGCCACATCTCCACTATGGTTTTTTGGTGATTACTTGGAGATAAGAGTCTTATCATAGACTTTCCTGCCTGAACTGGCATCAGACCAGGATAGTCAGTAGCTGCTGAGTAGCTAGGATTACAGGGGTGAGCCACCAGGATCTAGCTACATTGGATTCTTTTTTTTTTTTTTTTTTTCGGTCGGTCATGGGGCTTGAACTGTGGGCCTGGGCACTGTCCCTCAGCTCTTCAGTTCAAGGCGAGCGCTCTACCACTTGAGCCACAGTGCCACTTCCTACATTGGATTCTTGACGGCCAAATGTAGTCTTAATTCTCATCTTCTATTGGAAACACTTTACTAAATGTGATTTCTAGAATAGTTTCAAGATGCTTCTTTAATCTGGAAATACATGTCAAACATGTTTTACATGCCTCTGTGTATATGCATACATATGTATATACATCTGCATCTATGTATCCTAATGCTAGGCAAGGAGAAGGCAGACTGCTTTGGAAGTAGACCAAAGTTGTGTAGTTAGAATTACTCTTAAGATAAAAAGATGGTGTCACCTATTGCTGCCAGTGGCCACTTTGAGAGGTGGAAGAAGGAAGGCTTCATATTTTGTACTATAGACTTCTGTACCATATGAATCCTTGCCATGTTCCCCTATAGTTTACTTCTTTCTTTTTTTTTTTTTTTACTAGTTGATAGGTTTTATCATCTATACAGAGATATATTTTATATCCTGTGTGGAGAAATGAGCCAAACTGCAAATGGTAAATTTGCCTCTACCAAGTTAACTTTTTTAACCCTTTTTTTGCCAATCATGGGGCCTGAACTCTGGGCCTGGGCTCTGTCCCTCAGCTCTGCAGCTCAAGGCTAGCACCCTACCACCTGAGCCACAGTGCCACTTCTGGCTTTTTCTTCTTATGTGGTGCTGAGGACTCAAACCCAGGGCCTCATGCATGCAAGGCGAGCACTCTACCACTCAGCCAACTTCCCAGTCTGCCAAGTTAATTATTTTAGAGCAATACAAATCAAATGAAATATTACTACAGCTTAAAAGTAGGCTTTAAAATAAAAACGTCATATTATCTCTGATTCATAGTTGATAGCTTAAAACAATAAGGAAAAAAGCAAAGAAGACAATTTCAATGCATTTAAATCTTTTGCAAGCATTTTTGTCTTTTTTTTTTTAAAGCAGATCTTGGGGCTTAAATCCAAGGCCTGGGCACTGTCCCTCAGGTTTTTTGTTTGTTTGTTTGTTTTTTGCTCAAAGCTAATTCTCTGACACTTGAGCTACAGTGCCCATAATGATGCTTTGGAAGCTTATTAGAGATGAGTCTTATGGACTTTCCTGCCCAGGCTGGCTTCAAGTCATGATTAGGGACAACACCCAGGCCCTGAGTTCTAGCCCCAGGACCAGCACGAGAGAAACAGACAGTCACAGCCAGACAGACAGAGGGGAGAGAAAGAGTGAGAGAGAGAGGAGGGGTGGGGGAGTCAGAGAGACAGAGGGGAGAGAGACAGACAGACAGAGAGACAGAGGGGAGAGAGAGAGAAGAGAGAGGAGAGAAAAGGAAAGAAAAGAATACTATTGCATTTCACGAAGACCAGCAGAGTCAAAGAGCATGCTGATAAGGTAGTGATGGTTCTTCTCAACAAAGAGGCTACATGTAGCAAAACAGTTCAGCAACACTACAGATGTTTTTGGTGAGCTGGGTATTTGTTTTTCTAGGGAGGCACTGAAATGAGTCAAGTGTTTGTTTGATGATTTCTTCAGGTGGATGATGCTGAAGAACCTGAGAAAACGGGAGAGAACAAAGCACCCAGTAAGTTCCAGTCTGTGGGCGTACAAGTAGAAGAGGAGAAGTGGTAAGTCCACATGCATGCATCCTTTTTCATCTTGCTACTGGCAAGTACAGGGGAAGTAGTAGTCTTCATGTGGGGCCTACAAAGGGCAGTGGCCTCCTACTAATGTTTGGGGGTATTTAGAGGGTAAACATGAATCCATTTTAGGTGACTCCTTCTTAGACTATAGTATGTTTTAGCTAGTATTGTATTTTGAAGTATATCACATTGGCATAAACACTGTATGTAGTACTTTGGACTACCGAATTCTTCAAACAAAATTGGAGGAAATCTTTTGCCAGCAGTCATGCCTTGCAAGAAATGTTAAGACATTCTGAGCAAAGAAAAATCATATAGGACAGAAACTAATGTAAACAAAATTTAATTTTTGTGTATGTGTATAGTATAAAGTATTGGTATTAGGTATGAGTCTGTATACACAGAGGAGAGAGAGACACAGAGATAGAGACAGAGAAAAAGAGAAAGAGAGAAAGAAAGAGAACCAGACAGACAGACAGAGACAGAGGGGAGAGAGAGGAGAAAGAAGGAAAGAAAAGAATACTATTGCATTTCACCAAGACCTGCAGAGAGTCAAAGGGCATGCTCTGTGTGTGTGTGTGTGTGTGTGTGTGTGTGTGTGTGTACATGCCTCTATGATTGAAGGCATAGAATATTTGCCTTTCAAGCCATAGACTCTGGGCTTAATCTTCAATACCCCACAAAAATTTAAAACAATAAAAATAAGACATAAAAATTATTACAATATAGGGGCTGGGAAGGTGGCTCAGTGGTAGAGCACTTGCCTTGTATGCTCAAGGCCCTGGGTTCGATTCCTCAGCACCACATAAGCAAAAAGAAAACAGCCGGAAGTGGCACTGTGGCTCAAGTGGTAGAGCGCTAGCCTTGAGCTGAAGAGCTGAGGGACAGCGCCCAGGCCCAGAGTTCAGGCCCCACGACCGGACCAAAAAAAAAAAAAAAAAAATTATTACAATATATAACACCTAACAACAGAACTTGAAAATACCTGGGGCAAGGGTTAGCAGTACAGCTCAATGATAAGTATTTGCCTTGCACAAGTAAGAGAGCTTTAGTTAGATCCCCAGCACAGAAAAACAAACGAAACCACAACAAAAACAAGTGCTAGGAAGAAAGCTCTTAGAACTCTAAAGAAAAGCAGATAATTCCACTATTAGAGTTGGACAGTTCAGAAACTCTTTATCTCAAGTGGACAAATAAAAAAAGCAGAAGATCAATAAGGGTACAGTTGACTCAACAACACCATCAACCAATAATTGGATAGAATTGCCATCTATAAACTGCCTCATTCAACAGCAGTAGATTACACTGGCTGGTCAAGCTCACGTAGAACGATTACCAAAAAAGACTGGGTCACACATTCAGCCATAAAACAAACCTTAACAAATTTAAAAGAACATAAATCAAACACTGCTGTCAGACCACAGTCAAATTAAACTAGAAATCAATGACAGAATGATAGCTGGATATTCTCAAAATAGTTGTAGATTAAACAACACCTTAAATTACACTTGCAACAAACGCCCATAATAAAAATCTAAGAAATTATAATATATTTTGAACTAAATGAAAATAAAAAATATAACCACCAAATTTATGGAATATACCAGAACAGTGCTTAGATGGCATTAAATGCAAATATTTAAAAAGAAGAAAGCCAGGAGCCAGTGGCTCACACCTGTAACCATAGCTACTCAGGAGGCTAAGATCTGAGGATCATGGTTTAAAGCCAGCCCAGGCAGGAAAGTACATGAGACTCTTGTCTCCAATCAACCACTCAAAAACCTGAAGTGGAGCAGTGGCTCAAAGTGTAGCATGCAAGGAGGGAGAGGAGGAGGAGAAGGGGAGGGGAGGAGGGAGGGAGAGGAGGAGAAGGAGGGGGAAGAAGAAGGCGGAGGAGGAGGAAGAGGAGGAGGAAGAGCTGGAATCACTTGTCTAAGCTTCCACCTCAGTAAACTAGAAAAATTAAATTCAGAGCAAATAGAAGAAAGGAAATAATAAATATTTTAGAACAAGAATAGAAATCAGTGAAATTGAAGACAGAAAATTAACAGGAAACACGGATGTGTTAAAGTCTCATGACTGTGACAAGTCCCTTAAAGGTACAATGAAATGGAAGAATGATTTCTTTTGGCTCATGGTCTCAGAGGTTTTGGTTTATGGTACTCTGGCTCTATTGTTGTGGTAAAGTCAGAATATCATGGCAGAACTTGAAAGAACAAAGCTGCTTACCTATTGGTAGCCAGGAAGCTGAGAGAGAGAGACAGAGAGAGACAGAGAGAGACAGAGACAGAGACAGAGACAGGGAGACAGAGACGGGGAGACAGAGACAGGGAGACAGAGATGGCAATAGGAAGGGTCTAGGGACAACTCCCTCAGTGACATATACTCCTTCTAACAAGGTCTAACATCCTACTTTCTACCACCTCCCAAAACAGCACCCCCAGCTGAGAAGCAAGCCTTTAACTCATGGGCTTTATAGGATTCACCTTGTATCCAAAACATAGCATCAACAAAACCAAAATATGACTCTGTGTGTGTGCCAGCCCTGGGGCATGAACTCAGGACCTGGGTATTATTTGAACTATTTTGCTCAATGCTATTGCTCTACTTGAGCCATAGCTCAATTTCCAGCTTTTTTGGTGCTCAATGGAGGTAGGAGTCTTACAGAGCTATTCTGCCCAGGCTGGCTTTGATCTGTAATCCTCAGATCTCAGTCTCCTGAGTAATTAATTAGGGTTACGGCCACAAACCTTGGGTGCCTGGCCAAAATATGATTCTTGAAAAGATAAATAAATTGATAAGCCAGGCAAACAAAGAAAAAAGATTGAAGACAATTTATCATCATGAAACATGAAAGGAAATGTATCATTGCAGCTATCCTGGTCATTAAAAAAATAACAAATATAGTTCAAGTGGTAAAACACCAGCCTTGAGCGAAAAAAGCCAAGCATAGGAATGAGGCCCTGAGTTTAAGCCTGAGTACTGACACAAAAATAAAAGATAAAAGTTTTAATTTTCTTTTATTTTTATATTTTTAAATTTTTTGTTGGTTGTAGGGCTTGATCTCTGAGTCTAGACACTGTCCCTGAGCTCTTTAGCTCAAAGCCAGTACTCTACCAACTGAGCCACAGTGCCACTCCTGATTTTCTGGTGGTTAACTGGAAATAAGAGTCTCACAGAGTTTCCTGCCTGGGCTGGCTTTGAACCTCAATCCTCAGATCTCAGCCTCCTGTAGCCAGGATTACAGGCATGAGCCACCAGCACCCAGTTTAAAGTTTTAATTCTTAAAGGTGGATAGATATTATTCTTAATGTCAGTGTGTTATGGGGGAGTGGTTTAAATTCTCTTAAACAATACCTTACCTGTTGGATGGTGTACACACACATTTCTTAGTCTATTATAGTTTCAAAAAAGAATTTCTTTAAAGGTTAAAGTTTAACAAAGCAACATTATCACCTTTTCTCAAAACATAGGAGAAAGCCATCTGAATCTTGTATTCTACTTCAGACCCTGCCTGCAGCCAACCAGTTTATCTTTCAAAATTAACACCTCTACTCTTTATAAGAATGCGAAGTATAGCCTACCCAACAGTCACCCCAACATCAGATAAGCCACTTTTGTCATTGTTTAAAAATGTGTTAAACATTTATTGAGTTATTGGTTTGCAGGATGGCCAGTTCCTCAATAAACTGAGTGATTTACTTCAGACATCCTTGAAAGGGCTGGCAGACCTGAACTTTCCAAAACATACCCTTTGTCAAAGGTCACTTTATAGTAAAGCACTATAAATAAGCATTTGAATTGATGTTAGCCATTGTTTTCAACCTTTTTGTCAAACATGAAGGGATTACCTTTATCTTTTGGCTCTAAACTATAATTCTTTTTATAAGTTTGCTGATAGTAATTCATTTAGATAGGATCTTTAAAAGCAAATATGGTCACTAGAGAGAACTTAATGACTTGAGGATTTTTTAAAAATTATGTAGTGTTAATGGTGAGCTTGCTGTTTTCACACTGAATGGCCACTAACAATCCATCTCTTCCTTCCTCAAATAAACAAGCTGATAAAAAGCACCAACCTAACAAAAAAGTGAGAAAAGAAAGAAAACAGAGCCAGAAAAGATAGGACAAAGAAAGCCAGATTGAAAGACTTAGTAAGAAGCCTAGAGACTCATTATCTTTTGAATGATCACAATTTAGGAGCCCAAACTAACCCAGAAAAGCCCTCCATTGAATTGTTTGTTAAGAAATAGTCTTGCAAATTTAAGGTGCTCTTCAGTGTTTCAAATCAAAATAAAATAATCTATTGGTAAACAAATAGCAGGCACCAGATAATGCCCAGCTTTAAGAAGAGATATGGAAATGAAGTATTACAAATCTTGCTGGAGCAAGGCCTGGTAGCTCACACCTGTGATCCTCGCTACTCACGGAGACTGAAGCTTGAGGATCGAGATTCCAAGTCAACCCAGGCAACAAATCCTTGAGACTCTGACCTCCCATTAACCAGCAAAGAGCCAGTAGTGCTGTGGCTTGTGCCAAATTTGAGTAAAAAAGTTCAGGGAGAGCACCCAGGCCCAGAGTGCAAGCCTCAGCACTGGTGTGTGTGTGTGTGTTTGTGTGTGTGTGTGTGTGTGCGCGCACACACACAGAAAATCTTACTGGGACACTTGGAGGCAGCCAGAACACCCTCAAAATGCCATGGATAGCAACTGTACCATGTGCAACCTTGCAGAGGGGGAGACACTACACCAACACATGCTATCTAAAGGTCACTAGTTTAAATTTGCCAGCAGCAGCAGGTTAGAAATCTGTGAGCATGTGTTGTTTTGAAATAAGACTGCTTCTCTTAAGGACTCAGTGAAGAAATTGATCACTTCCATCAAACATTAGCTAATGCTCTGCCAAATTTCACAGTGCAGCTAGTAGCTCTCTGTCTATAGGATCCACTGGGCACTTGTTTACTGGTATGCAGGATGGATCTTGAA